GGAGGGGTCAGAGAGGTGTCATGAAGGAAGAGGGTCAAGCATCACCACTGATGCTCAGGAAGCTGGCTAGAGATGGGCACAGGTGGGCAGAGAATAGAACAGCTGGGCACGGCGGAAAGAGAAGAGAGGTGGGCAGGTGGCAAGGGCCCTCAGAAAAGGTGTGCCCCTGGAGGAAAGGAGAGCAAAGACGGGGAGCAGGTCAGAGGCGGGGCCCCCCGGCAGAGAGAGAGACAAAAGAGTTTTGATATGGTCAAAAGCCAGAAGCTGGCAGGAGAGATGTAGCTGGGAGAAAAGTCAGAACTGGCTTAGTGAAGCCACAGACCCAGCCTCGGAGCCAGGGGTGGGCAAAGGGTTAGGAAGCCAGAGGACCAGAGAGACAGAAGCGTCAGTGAGAATCTGTGGACAGATGGGACTGGATCTGTGTGTCAGAGCTGGTCAGAGGAAAAGTGAGCAGAAATGGTCACTGAGAGGAGAGGTGGAGAAAGCTGACCAGAGAGGGCAGATGCGGACAGAGGGTAGCTACTGGGTGGTCAGACGGTGAGAAGCTCCAACGGTGGAATCAGAGAAATGGAATGCCATCAGCTGGGCCAAGGAGGTCAGAGACGGGCAGAGCTGGCCATGGGCCCAGAGTGTTGGAGACACACTCATGGGACAGACTTTTTCCAAGGAAAACCCCTAAAAATGTCACAGGGCACCCCGCCCTCACCTACCTGTAGCCCAAGTGACTCCACCCCCACACACAAGTCCCTTCCCACCATGGGTGTCTCTCAAAGGCCTTACCTGAGCTGGAAGCCACCCCAGGGAGCAGACTCCTCAGGCTCCAGGGGGGTGAGAGGTCAGAACTCCGGAGGGGGCATCTGGTTAAGCTGCTCCTGCCCGGAAGGCCTCTGTGGAGGAACTGTCCTGTTTCAGCTCAAGTCTGTGGCTATGGAGTCTCCAAACTTTATGCTTGGGGTCCCATGCCACTAAATTGGGCCTCTAGGGTCCAGTTTTAGAGACCAAGGCCCCAGCAGTTGTTCTGATCAGGCTCTCTCAGTGTCAGGCTTAAGACACCCAACAGCCAGATGGAGAAGTTTAGGGTCTGAGTGTCCCAAGTCCAGCATGGAATCCGATATTGGGATCCTGTTGAGATTTTAGGGTGCCGACTCAAGACTTGGAGGTCTCTAGCCCCAGATTTCAGCACTCAGGTCAGGTCTGCAGCAAGGACTTCAGGCCCCTCGGAATTCCATGGTTCAAATCTTGGAACTGAAGGCCTAAATCCCAGGG